GTGGTTCTACTTGACAATTTTATGCTCAGTAAGTTGTTATTTAAAAAAAAAAAAAAAAACCCCATATAATTCTGTAGGCCTCGGAAATGGGTTTTACAAAAGAATTCTTAGAATTCATTGGACAGCCAAAAAGAAAAACCCAGATGTTTTAAAATAATTGATGGCTCGCGGACAACTTATTCCCAAAATCAGAAAGAGACAGTCATAGTTTTAGTCACGTTATGAAAATAGGGAAACTGGAACATGTTGTGGGCCCTTGAAAGTTCTGTGGAAAAGAGACAGAAGAAGACAACGCTAGTCGATTCTTGACACACTTTTGTCCAGGCATGGAGAGATATCAGCTCCCCAACTGATACATGCTGTTGAAGATAGGCGCTTGTTGATGATGAATTTGTTATTGCTATCGCATTGTCGCCGCTCACGCTGTTGTCGAATTTAAATCACAGCGGTCTGTTGCCAAATCTTCTACAGCTGGATCAAACCCATGATGTGGGAATTTTGAACTGTAGTCTCAACCGCAGATTCACATACGCCAATTAAATGTATAAATATTATACTAGGGCGAGCCATTTTTTTAAATTTTCTAATATTTTTGTGAGTAGCAGTCAATACTGTAAAATTCCTTCCCCATATACAATGGTACCTCAGAATTCAAACGCCTCAAAACTCGAACAACTTGGAATCTGAAGACATTTTCAAGTAAAGATTGCCTTGGAACTTGAGCGCCACCTTGGAAACCGAACACTTGACACGTGCCAGCTAATGAGTTAGTGGACGAGCACCCGACTGAGCTGACAACGCAAGAGCTTCAGCCGCTTCACCAGCAACAGATGGACGAGACTGCAGAAGATATTTCTTCCAGGAAGGAAAAGGGGGAAGTTGGAAGGAATAGCAATGCTGAATTCCAAGAGCTTTTAACATTGTGATTGAAAATGTACGAGTCTGTTGGGAGATGGCAAGCTGATTCTAGTTAAAAAGTGTGGTAATATGTTCAGTGATAACATTATGGAATATTTTAGAACAATTAAAGATGGTCGCCAGCAACAGAGAACACTGGAATGCTGACTGTCAACAAAAACTATGGAACCCCAAACCCTCTACAAGTAGTTAACGACCACGATATGAAACACCAGGAAGGATTCCTGTTATCGTGGATGGTGATTAGTGATTAGAAAGAATTATCATCACAGCACTCCGGACATATCCATAGGTGCTCCGATCTTATCCTCAAAAGCTCCACAAGTGTAAAACGACTGATGACGACTGTTCTGTGCTGGCTAATGAAACATATTGTCCCCTTAGTGAAATGTTCATTTCTTGCAGCTCCAGGCTGCACCTCCATGTTTATCAGTCTAGACAGGGATATGGAGTCATGTCCTTTGGCGTGCTCCTTAGTACGATAAGTGCAGCGCACGGCATTGATAATATCACTTCCGTTCAGTACTGGGCCAGCCATAGCAACTGCAGTGTCAGCTATATAGTCTGCAGGCTCGTTTCCTTGAAAACCCTCATGACCTGGCACAAATATGAAAGTTAGGGCAGATATTCGTGAAGTGCTTAGTGTTGCAATCCCTTCTTGCCTGATAAATCCAGCTTGGATTTTTTAAGCATATTCATCGAGTCACTAAGACTGCATACGTGTGTCAACTTTAAGTACCAAGCCATGCTAATGCCATTGGTACAGCCATAGTTTCCATTTCATGCTTTCCTGTCCTGTGCAATCTTCAGTGCAGTTTTCCATGTCAAAGATGCCGCACTCAGGTCACTTTCCATCGTTCGTCTCCATGTGGTTTTTGGGCACCCCTTCTTTCTCTTTCCCTCTGGTGTCCATGTGAGAGAATTTCTTTAATTACTTAGGCAGTTTTGGTCGTTTCAAACATGGTTCTTACATTGCAGAACCCAATTCCTAATTTGGTTTTAACGTCCAGTAGACTTGTTTCCCATTATGGACTTCCTTTCAGCTTTCACCCATGTTTTTCATGCTGACAGAGGGACTCTGTCCCAAGACCTCCGGACGTTTAGAGCACTTTTTTTTCTCGAGAAGTTTCTGTAACGTTGTAATATCTTACAAGTCAGAGCTGTCAACACTGCGCCCTACTTCCAAGCCTGGAGAACCGGGAGGCCATTTTTAGTCTTACCTCTCACCAATGACCTGTCCGGCTTGGGTGACCCTACCACTAACACATTATTTTCAATGATTGGGGGGGGGGGAGAGGGAGGGGGGGGGGGAGAGAAGAGAAATTGCATTGTAACTCGAACTATTTCAAGTTTCAACAGATTATAACAGATTATGAATTCCAAGGTACCACTGTACCCGTAACATGATATGTGACAAGCTTGATATTGGCGGAGTGTCTTGTGAGAGAGTGGGCGATGCAGAAACGCGATAAATCATCACGGCAGAGAGATAATGGTACGGAACGGAGTGACCGACCAAGGGGGTCTGGCTGAGAGACTGGTTTTAGAGGAGATGTAAGACCAGAGAGGGTAACTTCTGTTAGTTCGTGGGCCACATTTAGAATTACCAATCTGGTCGCAGACCATATAAAAAAAAAAAAAAATCAAAAATAAACATAACATCAAGTTATCCTCAAAACTGTCTTTGAATGTCTCAGTTGTGTCAATGTTTCCACAAAGGACAGTGATTGACACTCTGTGTGTTTTTCGTTGGCACAGGGGTGGTGCAACTATGAAGTGGCCCGTTTGGTATGAAGCTGAAACTAAGATTACAAAATACCTCTAATATCTCAGTTTGTCGGCAATACGTGTTTCACTGACAGATCAAAGATTAGGCGACGTGAGTTTCTGGTTGTCTCTGCTTAGGTTATCATTTTTTTAATGTTTTTTTTTTCTTTCTTTCTACATGCGAACGTATGTTTTTGTCTTCTGCTATTGTGTAAGCTCAACCTCGCGGGCCAGTAAGTATTGCTCGGAGGGCCAGTTTCAGCCTGCGGACCATATTTTGTCTTCTCTGAATCAGACAAAAATATAATCTGACTGCTACTAGTTCCACCGGAATTGAACTCTGGTCTGGCTGCTGAAGATGGGACCGGAGCGTCGTTTATAGTAATATAACGAGTGCTGTGATGTTGGTTTCTAATTCACGTCAGCTCAATTGGTTTTCAACACACTTTAGATACTGATACGGTTTTTCAGCAGTGTGCTTTGTTGGTATTACCTCTCTTTTGTAGTAAACAAGGCAGAAAGACACACACACACAGAGAGAGAGAGAGAGAGAGAGAGAGAGAGAGAGAGAGAGAGAGAGAGAGAGAGAGAGAGAGAAAGAGAGAGAGATTATAATGCATGAGCAATACATAAAAACTGTCACTGTCACTACTGTCTATTTTCCCACTTTTTAAAGCGGTGTAGAAAAAAAAAAAAGGAATTTGGGGGGGGGGGGGGTGAACCTGAGGATTGAGGGCGACATGGCTAGTGCTGTCGTCACGGACTGTGCAGATTGGGATGTTTACTGTGTTTAGTAAATACACGATCCCTGTAAAACTGCCGAGGATTTGTGCTATAGAAAAAAAAAAAAAAAAAAAAGACATATACAGCCAGGTGTCACTGTTCACACTCGCCATCGCCATGGGCTGTGCTCAACAAGCCTGCATATAGCTCAGTGAACCATTGTTGTATAAAAGCTGCCAAACAAAACAATATGAAAGCAGCGACGTCGCAGTGACTAGCACGTTTTCATGTCGGTTGGTCCAGTGAGAATTGGTTCGAGTCCCTATCTTGGGGAAAATTGTTCAGGTAATCTTGACTCCCAGGTCAAGCAAACTTAAAATGGATACCGGGAAGTGGGAAGTAAAGTCGGTCTGGGCGAAACTGACCGTGCCACCTGCCGAATGACCATTGGTTGATGAAACCTTGGGATTGTCACCAAAGCCAGAGCTGCGTAAAGGCAAACAGATGGGATCTGGCATAGGAAATGAGTGTTTCTTGGCGATCAGCTTAGCAAAGTTTGTAATAAAATTATCCATATTAACTCTTTTGGTACGAGAAGAGATGTCAACAAATCTCCAAGTGGGACAAACATTATAAAGCTACAAGAGGCTAACCACGGCGGAGTGACAACTTGGGTAGCCATATTTCTGGAGTATGGTTTGACCAAATGTAAAATGCAAATAAATAAAACACATTATTCGTTGGCTGCAACTCACAGTCATTATCCTATCGCATAGTACACGTTTCGCGAAAAGCCTGGCATATGTTATCACAACGTCAAGTTCAAGAATGGAGATGGAGGCAGTCACTACTGCCTTCCGCGGCCTTGAGAATCAGCTGTACACAGATGTTGGATTGTAACTGACTCACAGAGCAGGTGGAGAAAGGTGGAGACAGGCATTCTCCGTGCAGAGTGGCAAGCATCACTAACAGAGGTTCCGGGTAGTTAGCATACTTTGGATAATTTCTCCAGGTCATCTTGATTTGTTGGGAAATGAGCACCCTTCTGCACCACGTAGTCGTGATCTGTTCTATCTAGTTGTTGTGAGGGCCTTTATGTGCGAGAGAACAGTGCAGAGACACAAATAGATCATTACGGTCTGAGGAGTATGGCGCTGCGAGGAGTTACCAGGGGATCTGGCCGGCGCTCAACACATAGGGGAAGGGCGAGACGGATGTACAGTCAGACAGTTAATGGTGCCATCGGAATTGCAACTCTCCGCTTGCTGCTGAAGATGAGACCGGAGCGCTTATAGGAGTGTTTTGAGAGCTGTGCTGTCGATTCTTAATTTAACATTCAACAACATTCAACACTACAGATTGTTTGTAACTAACAAATAAAAATAAAAACTGCGAAAATATTGCCAGTGGCAAGAAGTTGGATCAACGCCGGAGAAAAAGTCTTCTGAAAAACCACGGCCAGCTCATCAACAACAAAAATACAACCACTACAACAAAACAATATAACAGCCACGTCCACCACACAAACTTACAACCACAACAAAACAATATAACAGCCACGTCCCCCACACAAACCGACAAACATCGCTTACCTGGACCCTCGCTTCTGTCAGGCTACATCTCAGAGCAAGCTGCTCTCTCGCGTACACGTCCGGGTAATGAGTCTTCTGAAAGACCCTCTCCATCTCCTCCAACTGGAAGCTGGTAAACGTGGTCCTGTTCCTCCTCTTCTTTCTTTTGGGTTCACTATCGTCTCCACCATCATCTTCTTCATCAGCATCACCATCAGCGCTTTTATCGGCGTCTTTGGGGTTGTTGATGTTACTCGGATTGTTCTGATTTTTTGCATCGAGTTTATTGCCATCTGAGTCCTTTTTCATGTGAGCGTTGAGAACTGGCTGGATGTTGTGGTAGGATGGATCGCTATTGCTTTTGGGAGAGGAGTTCATGTGGGGTCGATCCATTTTGATGCCTGGGGTTTTGGTGATGTTGTTGGTCGCGATACCTATATTCCCCGATGGTGTATTGGGGCTAGTGTTGGGTGCAGAGGTTTTGTTGTAGTGGTTATTGATGAGGCCGTCTCCTGCGTGCCTTAGTTTGTTGATGTTGCTGCTGCTGAGGCTACTGTTCACTGGGCTGATGGCGGCAGTCGGGTGGTTGTGGTGGAGGTGGTTGAGTTGGTTGTGATGGTTGGCGTGGAGGTATCCTGCAGGGCTGATTGTGCCACCGTGCACGTCGGGGCTGACTGGGGTTCCATACATGTTCTCTAAGTCTGTAACGGCAAAATGTGTTCTTCATTACTTTCATGGGTATCATTAGACAGCGGGCAAATACAGACACTGAAGACATCTATCAATTGCCTTTTGAAGACGATCAGTAAGTATCTAATACATCACCAAGAATAGAATTTACAATACCAATATTGTCTGACGGGAGGTTGGTAGGTAGTTATACCCCACAAGAACATCACAAAAGCGATAGAAACCCAGTGACAAAAAGTGCCACCATGCGGATGAGAATCACCCGAGGAGAGGTCCCAGAAACCCTATTCAGTGGTTATCAGGCCATATCTATACCCCGGCTATATTCAGGGCTTTAAGTAACAACAAATTGCATCCTACATCGGGACGACTACTTATGATCAGTATCTAATACATCACAAAGAACAGAATTTACAGCACCAATCATGTCTGACGGGACAACAAACACGGAGAACATTCGGCAGCCCTGTCCACTCTACTTACAACTACGTTGATAAACTTGGCATTAAGAGCAAAATGTGAAGAACTGTGGGAACCACGAGGGAACTGCAACTGCCATGCGAATTCATGGGAAAGGGGGGGGGGGACTGCCTGGACTCGAGGCATGGCGTTCGCCTCGAGTGCTGGAGGTCCCGGGTTTAGGCATCGATGAGGCTAGGTTTCTCTTTCACGTGGACTTCTAATTATTTTTCATGGTCTCTGGGTAGTGAGATTCGACGCCCGTGTGTATTGTTGCGCACGTAAAAATCCCTTGGCAGTTGGAAACCGAAAAGAGTAGCTCAACGGCGCTGCCCGGACCAAATGTGTAGTTACTCGGACTTGAGTAAGAAGCAGAACAGAGCACATGAGTTACAAGCCGTGTGCCATGATGCTGATCTATTGTTCAAAACATCAAAACATCAAGCCAGAGTTCAGAAGGCAAATGCTATCATTTAGCAGTTAGCCCTACCACTTAGACATCCAGGTGATTTCCTTCCAGCAAAACAGCAAATGATTATTAGCATTTTCATTCCTTCTTTATGCTATCAGTGCCAGACACGGACAATGAATAGGGCACTAGAACAGAAAGCAACTACGATGTCCCCATATGGTCACTCAGAAAACAAAAGAGAGACAGATTTACGATTGTCAACATTAGCAGGAATTCTAGAATAAGACCGAATTATATTAACATACAAATGATGGAATGGTTCGGCCATCTAATGAGAATACAGCTATACCAAACTGCAGATATGTATATATGTATATAAATTTGTTCATATATATATATATATATATATATATATATATATATATATATATATACTTACAGCAGATAATTTAAGAGACAGATCAAGAAATGCATGGCTAGACAGAAAGAAAGAAAGACAGACAGACAGACAGACAGACAGACAGACAGACAGACAGACAGACAGACAGACAGACAGACAGACAGACAGACAGACAGACAGACAGACAGACAGACAGACAGACAGACAGACAGACAGACAGTACACCTATAACTTACACAACGAAACACCCCCGCTTTCATTTTGTCACTCACCGTATCATCTCAGTCACCATCGCCTCGCCCAGTAGGCCACAATCAGATATCTGCTCCCAGGTCGCTAAAGAAGCTTCAAATCTATTTGAAATAGCGCTTTCTAGCTTGATTCCCCCACTTATTACCATTAATTCGACAATCATCTTCGAGTCTGGGTCATTATCTCCGGCTTTTATCGGCAGTACAAGATAAACTTTCGGGGAAAATACGGTAACCTGGGGTCTTTCGGAAACGACCTGAGGAAGGCGAAGCTAGTCGAGCATTGGCGGATCCGAGGTGAGAGAATCT